TGCCACATGTTCTGTTATTCTTAAATTTGTATAATTATGTAGATTATTTATTTCGATTAGTTTGAATATTAAATGAGCGATTGAAACAACATTTTTAAACTTCGCTAGTCTCCGCTTTTATCAAATTGTATGCTACTCCCAAAATGCCACACAATATCTACTAAATCTTCATTTATTATTATATAGAACCTAGATTATTTATTTCGATTAGTTTGAATATGAAATGAGCGATTGAAAGAACATTTTTAAAACTCGTTAGGCTCTGTTTTTATCAAATTGAATGTTACTCCAAAAATGCAGTTATTTTACATTTTTTTTAAAATGATGTAGATTGTTTATTTCGACTATTTTTTTTGATTTCCACATGAATATACATATATACAATATATACTCGTACCAGCGATTGATTGACAATTTCTGACCTCTTTATAGGCTCTGTTTTTATTAAATGTATATTAATACCAAAATGCCACACAATATCCAGTTTTTCTGATTTTTTTTGTAATTATCTAGATTATTTTTATACTCTGTACATAAAATGTACAGAAGTATATTAGGTTTGCGGGAGCTGAAAATGTAAGAGGCAGAAGGAGGCCTGGCAGACCCCACAAAGTATATATATTCTTGATCAGCATGACGAGACGAGTCGATCTAGCCCTGTCTGTCTGTCTGTCCGTCCGTCCGTATGATCACCTAGATCTCAGAGACTATAAGAGCTAGAGACACCAAATTTTGCACAAAGATGCCTTATGTGTGTACGCTATACGAGTTTGTTTTATTTTTTTGATTTCCCCCCCCCCCCCCCCACTTCCCCCCTATGGGGGTTTTCCCGATTTTCCATTCGTATAATCGCCTATATCTCGGAGACTATAAGACCTACGGACACCAAATTTAAGTCCCAGATGCCTTATGTGAATACGCAGAAAATGTGTATTTTGGAATTTCCCTCCCTCCCCCCTAAAATTTTGCAAATACCCCCAGTTAGTAATTATCCGTATGCCAAGTTTCATCATGATAGACCGATTTAACAAGAAGTTATAGCCATAAATATATTTGCTGCTGCAGCGCTGCTCAAGCGCTGCCCAAGCGCTGCCCGCGGCTGTTGTTGATGCTGGTGCTTTGGTTGACTGCGAACATGCTTACACAGACACGAATAGACGCGCATAAACATACATACACTGACATAGACGCAATTGCAATTGCTTTGAGTTCGAATACCGAGAAAGGTAAAATCGATCAAAAATTTTTTTTTTAATTCTCTTACTTTTTTTAATTTCTATATTTATTCTAAACATATGTGCAGAGTATTTCAAAGTCGGCACACCCGACTTTAGATTTTTTACTTGTTTTCGTTTAGTACATGATCGACTGAACGAACATTTTTTAACTCGTTAGGCTCTGCTTTTATCAAATTGTATGCTACTCCGAAAATGCCACACAATATCTACATACTTGTAATCTTCATTTTATTATTATTATATAGAACCTAGATTATTTATTTCGATTATTTTTTTTCGAATATTTTTTCGACTATTTTTTTCGATTATTTGTTTCGATTGATAAATATTAGATTAGCGATTGGAAGCCAATTTTTAAACTCTGCCACTGCAAAAATGCCACACAATATCCCGTTTTTCTCAATTTTTTATAGTTACTTAGATTATTTTTTTCGATTAGTACATGAATATAAATATTAGATATACTCGTACCAGCAATTGCAAGAACACTTTTGAACTCATTAATCCCTGTTTTTATTAGAATTCAGCACCTTATACGTGATTAGTAAGTTAGTTTGATTAGGTATAAAAAAAAAATGAGATCGATAGTCAATTTGTGTGACGAGTGTCGAGAAATTTGTAGTTTTCGTCTTCCCGCTAGCTCGTTCCGACTGGCATTTTGTGGGGCACGTGGGCACTTTTAATTTTTTTTTTTTTGATTATCTAACACAAATGCAGTGGCTGCTTAATGCAAAATGTCCGCTCTGGCGCCACACCAGCACCCCCAGTCGACCCGGTTTCGAGTGGTAAGCCCATTGGCACGTACATCGTGATGTTGTTGCTCGCGGGGGAGGTGCGGGCGAAGACCGAAGACCGACCACATAACTCAGTTTTAATCCATCAATATGTGCGCTTAGCAAACACACACACACACGTCCGCACGCCATTTTGTTTGACAGACGGCTTACACGATGGCAAACAAGAGCATATGTCAAAATCTGTTTGAGGGCCAGTTAAATCGGGGGGGAGGGGGAAATCGGAATCAGTGGATTTGAGGATTTGCGGATTTATGGATAATGTGCAGCGGATGGCAAAAATTGTTAAAACCGCCGACGCGACGCGTCAAGGCAGCTGATCAGAAATCTCACGCCTTGCTGAGCCCGTTCTGGACCCCATTCTAGGCATTTTGGATTGATAATTTGTTAATGCTCTCTTAAGTTGCACTACAAGAAATGTAAGCCGCAAGATAAGAGGTTTTTTTCTTATGACAAATCTTCTTCAAACCTAGCTTAGACAACTATACCGCATCGTTAACCCTGTAGATCTTAAAAGTTGTGTGAAATATAAATTATGTTTTAGGATATAACTTTAGTGAAGTTTGGAGACATAGTCCTTCCAATATCAGAGTTGACTATTATCCTTCGCAAAATGTTGAGAGATAGAGTTTAAACTCGGGCGGAAGAGCTGCCAAAACAATTCGCGAGATTTGGCCCCCTTGGATTATTTACTTTTTTCAATTTTGATAAAATGCTAAAAGATTTGCCAACTTTGAAGCCTCGCTAGCCACTAATACCAGAGAGAAGGAGAATATATTTTTGAGGAGAATATACTTGTATTTTAAAGATGCTCGTAATAACAAACCGAATCGACACGGATGTGAGAGCGACATTTTAAATCGAAATATAATCATTTGCCGCATTAGTATTGGATTGATTCGTGGCCATTCCTTTTAAGGCAGTTTGTGCGTCTCAAAAAACTTTGATGTGTGAACTTTCCAAGTTTCCCCTTGGTATTAAAATAAAGACCCCCCCACCCCAAACTCCCAAGGAAACAACGAACCGAACCCTCCACTCAACCAAATCCGGGCAGTGACGTCTGCCCGAATGTTTGTTTGTTTGTTTGCTTGCTTGTGTGCGTTTTGATTTCCAACTTTTGCAAACTGTCATACTTTTATGTACATACCTATATATGTATATCTTTATATATATATGCTCATTATGATATAACACGGCATATACTACTAGTACATACTTATCGGATATGTATATGTGTGTGTATTTGTAGGGCAATAGCTGGGCTTGGAGTGCTCGAAAAAGTTTGTACAAGCAATGTGAAAAGTGCTTGACGGTAAATGCCGGCGATGGAAAAGTTGCGATGATTAGCCAGATTTAAGTTTCAAGGATTCGCGCGAAGCGAGACGTTCAAATCAAATTGATTAGCATTGATTAAGTGTTGCGATGGCGTCCACAAGGCGGAACTGAGCGTACTTGTGCCACAGATTTAACCAGAAAGCTAATACTTCATATTATATGATTGGATTTTTAGTTTAATTTCCATTCCCACAATCACAAAAAAAAGGGAATATTCCATTAAGAAGGCATCAAGGCCATTAGCCAGAAATTTAAACTAACACCAACAAATTATAAGGAGTTTCTAAGAAAAGTAGTTGTGTGTTGGTAAACGCGCCACAGATTTAACCGGAAAGCTAATACCTGATATTTTATGATTGGATTTTTAGTTTAATTTCCATTCCCACAATCACAAAAAAAAGGGAATATTCCATTAAGAAGGCATCAAGGCCATTAGCCAGAAATTTAAACTAACACCAACAAATTATAAGGAGTTTCTAAGAAAAGTAGTTGTGTGTTGGTAAACGCGCCACAGATTTAAACGGAAAGCTAATACCTGATATTTTATGATTGGATTTTTAGTTTAATTTCCATTCCCACAATCACAAAAAAAAGGGAATATTCCATTAAGAAGGCATCAGGGCCGTTTGCCTGGAGTTTAATTTAGCATTAAAGAATGATTAGGGTTTCTAATAATAGTAGTTGTGTGTTGGTAAACGCTTTTACTAACAATTTAGTGTTGAGACCTAAGGAGGAGCTTCATAGCAATAATTAAATCTTCGCTTTATTTCTTGGAATAAGCTTTCCTTAAATTTTCTCCTTAAATAATTTGAAAGAGCTCAGAAGATATTAAAAAATAATGTATGTGGAATACAATTTGTTCTTTTCACATTTAAATTCTAAAAGGTGACCGTTCTGCAGAGTTATCTATAAGATCCGAAAGCATTTATATACAAGTATGTGTACAATCAATTTTTCTTTTAAATTATCAAATTGAATGAAATCCTATTTCTCCATTAAAGCTTGAACATCACAATTAGATAAAAAGATTCTTCTCTTAAAATTTACATTCAGATTGAAGTAGGAAACATAAGTTTAGGAAGCTGTTAAAATTTGGTGATAAAGTTATGTAGGAATGTGTGTACACCCATGGACCAAATAATTTGTGAGAAGCTGCTTTTCAGGATAATGATCTAAAAATAATTCATTAGGATTGGTTAAAGAATTAAGAGGTCCCAGACCTACATAAATACCACTGGGAACCTCTGAACAGAACATAAACGAGAAGTCGCCAACAATACCCAGTTATTGGAAAACCTTCAATAAGTTTGGAACAATATTCCAATAGAAACGGACGGAGCCCTAACTAATGATATTTCAATATTATTTACTTAGTTTTGGCTAGACATATATATTCGTATAATGGTTAGGCATTATATATTGGAGTGTTTAGTTAATTGTTGATGCTTTTTTGAAACATTTTATTTTTAGTTTTATAGAAGAGGAATGTTTTATTTAAAAACTAGTTTGTTTCTTAAGGAATTATGAGAAAATATGTAGATGAACCATATTCACACCTATTCTTCTGTCCATGGGTGTATGTGTGTATGTGTATGTATATGTGTGGATGTTTGTAATATGTTAATGAGCTTACCAAAATCTCTTCCAATTCATTTTTAAATGTTCTGCTCAATGCCTCGGCATGTGCGGCCGCATTCGTATTTTGATTGGCATTTGCATTGACAATTGTAGTTGCTGTTGTTGTTGTTATTGTTGTAATATCGTTGTTGAACTCTTGGACACAATTTCGATTTAAATTGGAAGTTTTTATGAACTGCGAGGAGCGAGCAAGCGGCAGAAGAGCGAAGCGCGCATGGAGAGTAGAGAAGAGTAGAAAAGTAGAGTAAATAGAGAAAAAGAATGCGTGTGAAGTGGGAGAGAGAGAGAGAGTATGTGTGTGTGAGTGTGAGATGATTGATGATAAGATATAGTAGTCGATTCATGATTAGACAATTAGCTAGGCATAATGATAGTTAGTTATAAAGTTTAAGAATAGGAGAAGCTCGAGCAATGTAACTAAAAGCACTACATATTTAAATTTGTTTAATTATCAATTATATACAAAATGAAAATCCAGCATTTACACTATATATATACTGTTTATTTATAATATCTGCATGTGTAGCATTATTTCAGCTCCCTAGTATTAGCAAGATTAAGCGAACTTTATTATTTAATTAAAACTTAAGCAATGTTTAAGCCACAAAGTCGTCAGTATTCGCTTAAATTAAACACAAAACATGTTAACAAGGGCGTACGCAGCTTTTCTAAAGGGGGCCGAACAAATAAAATTTTGATTAAATAATGCACGATGTGTTAAATAAATAATTGATGCATACTCGTATGATGAGCAGAAAAAGTTTCCCAAATCCAACGCAGTTACATTTTAAGGCTGAATAGTGCGTTATTAGAATGATAGATAGCCTGATTTTTTTCTTAAGACTTAAACTATTCCATCCTTGCATATTAACCAAGAAAAGAAAGAAAGAATTAAAGTGCAGTCAGTTTATTACGAACAGATCACAGTCTAGGCAGCATTGCTCTAGCAGTCGCACAGTGCAACTCAAACTGTATGCGGCTACAGTTTAATGGATATTGTGCATTGCTATCGTTGCTGCTCTGGCCATCACGGCTTTCAATTAAGTTTAACAAATTGCAAAAAAAAAGCAAAGCTAAAACTAATTGACATAGCGTAAATGGGTCACAGGTCACAAAGTAAAAGCCAAACAAGGGAGGCAAAGAAAAAAAATATGAAAAAAACAGAAACAACAACAACAACAAAATATGGAAACAATAACAACCACGACACGCAAGCAAGTAGAAGAGCTTACGGACGACTGAACAGAAGTAGGGAAGGACTAATGGACGACTATGTTGGAATGCACAGACAACAACAACAGCAACAACGAAAACTGTTTGACAGCTGTGTATGTGTGTGTGTGTGTGTGTGTGTGTTAGCCGCCCCCCCATTTTGGCTTATTCCCGGGCACTTTCGTTTAGGTGCTAAGTAGCAAGCACTAAGAAAAGTGCTCAGAGTCTTGTTGAATTCGTATGTAAAGCAAAATTAAGCACGTTACGGCGACAACAAAAACAACAACAACAGCAACAGCAACACCAATACTAAAATGTAGAATGACACGTTAACGCCCCCCACAAACCAAAAGCCAAAGGACACGCAATTCGGCATTTTGCTAAATAAATACGTTAAGTAAAAGCAAAAGAAAGAAAGAAAAGAAGAAAAAAAAAACAATGCATACGCCCAGGCGCCAATCTAAGCAACTTTACGCCGCCACTATTGACAGCATTGGCAGCCAAAAAAAATCACTATATAGTACATATACATATATATCTATTTGTTAAGCACTAATATTGATACGCACACAAACAAACAAGCAAGCAACACACACACACACACACACACATACACACCTACATAAGCGTACTATTATTTTATAGCTATTTGAGAGGCCAGCGACCATCAGCAATCTTTTGTACTGGCTCCACACTCTAGTTATGTGTTTATTTCCAAAATATTTTTACAAATTAATGTTTTCTATTTACTTGGGCACAGTTATACTATGAAATGTTGCTGGAAAAGCTATCAAGAAGGCTGAAAAGCTTCGCTTCTTTTGCGAAAGCTGAGGGAAACAAAAGAAACATTGGCGCATTTCTTTTAGTTTTTTATTTTATTTAAGTTACGTTGAGAGAGCTCATGATTTATTCTAAGAAATATTTGAAATTAAAACCCATAACCGAAGCATTTTCTTTTCTTCTACTGAAAAGATCTGCCGAATTATCAACGACCTTTAACTAGTAGAATTGTTTCAGAAAAAGCAACAATAAGCAATTATCTTATTATTATAATTATTGTTATTTAATTTTTAAACAAACTTTCAATGGCAATAACACGCAAAAGTACTAAATTTTTAAAAGGTCAGGACAGGCTGAAAATTTCAGCTTGATTCGCCTTAAAAAATTCAGCTTTTTTGTAAAAGAAGAGGGACGCTAAGCATTAAAACATTTCTTCGATCATTTTTTTTTTATTTAAGAACTGAGGCCTTATTCCAAAATAAAATTTGAAATTTAAAATGTAATCAAGGAATTTTCTTTTCTTCTACGCAAAAGGTCTGTCTAATTATCAACTACCTTTAGTTACTTCTATAAGCGAACGTATACGTAGAATTATTTCAGATAAAAGCAACAATAAGCAATTATCTATTATGTTTAATTTTAATACAAATTTTTAACGGCAATAATACGCAAAAGTACTACAGTTCTAGACGGTCAGGTCATATTTTCAAAATATGTTTCTAAAGATACTAGTTAATGGATATTTCTCAAGATCTACTCACATCGGCTATTTTGGCCGTCTGGCCATCCTTCTCCCATTTGGTTGCAATCTGCAATGTTTCGGCGGTCTTCTGTTGTATGCTCTTAGAGTCGTCCAATAATGTCAATTCATAGAATTCTTGTATATCTGCAATTAGTTCAGTTCAGAATATCCAACAATTAATCAACAGCAAGTGGCAGGCAATTATCAATAATACTTGTACAAATGGCCAATCACTGGAGCTAATTAATAGCCAGTTGGCAATCGATTGCAGTTTCCGTCACTGAGAGGAGCAATCATTTATTGCAAACAACACAACAATATTCATTATACTCGTATAATAACAGAATAATATAATATTAAAAAAGAATAATTCCCTGAAATCATTTTACTTATAAACTAAGCATATAATATCGTCATCTTTTGAATCATCAGTATATTTAAAGTCTCAAAAAGTTTACAAAACATTCATTATTTCATTTGTTTTTAGTTAAGATATGTTAATTAACAAGAAAAGAAAGAGATAGACAATTTCTTTTAGAATGGCAGTGTTATACAAGCTTTTATATATATATATAATATAGAATTTTTGCATCTAAGGTTTGCAAACATATAAAATATTTTCTTTTGTTCTGCTGCTCTAGGCCTAGATTTTAGGTAAATTTAAATTAATTTAAAGTAAATTCATTTTTAGTATATTTAAAGTGTCATCTTCTCATACAATAAAGTACTTTGAGATTTACTTTTCACAGCCTCTTTGTAAAATGCGACAAATTTGTATGCAAATTATTTGCCTGTGTGACCATAGCTTAACAATTATGAAAGATTTGCACAAACGTTCATTTCAATACAATTTATATTCTGATCTCTAGAGCAATTTTTTATACTGTGCTTAGATAGGCACAGAGTTTGCTGACAAACCCGTTGAGTATCTTCAATTCTTTTAATTGGAATTTTATAAAATAAGATGTTAATACAAACTTGGTCTACGTGCCAGTTACGGACAGAGACATGACCATTCGAAAGGACTACGAACCTAGCTACGGAAACAGAACAACACACAGAACTTTTCGCTCGTGAGAAAACTAATGGACTTGGACGTTAGAGACTTTCGTATTCTTCCGGCAACACTAGAGACTTATAAAAGGCAAGCCAGTAGGCGGAAGAAAGCGTCTCATTAGGCATTAAAATAGGCAAGTATAGACATAGACTAATAGGTAGATTAATTTATTAATTTAAAGTCAAATTATTTGTCCCTAAGTAATAACCAAATGAGCCTTGCAAGGAACCCATTTTGTTCAATTTAAGTTACTGACTATTTAATGCTAGTATTTATTTTCATTTTGTTGACTTTTCATCCAGCTTTTGTTCTTTGCTGCTTCACCGACGAGCATTCAGTTCTGTTATGGCTTTTTTCGTCCTCGTGTTTCCAGCTTTGGAGTCCTTCCATGAGCTGCAGGAATGAAAAGCGCACAATTTATACATATTCGAATAGTTTGTTATTTACGTTAAGACAACACAAACCTGACTGTGTCCAGCGTCGCTTTTCTTTTCACACAACAAAGCGCATTACTTACAGGCGGGAGCGACATTATTGATGTGCAGCTGGAGAAATGGAGAAATGGAGAACTGCAAGCAAAGAGAGTTCATTTGACTTCATATTTCTCAACAATAGAATTGAATGAATTGAACCTCTTACCTCCGCTCCTAGACAGCCAGCAAAGAGTCGCCGTTTATTTTTTTGGTTTTCTTTCCTTTTTTTTTTGTAACTCAAGGGGGCCGGAAAAGCAAAGCAGAATTGAACTTGAAACACTTGAGAATTAAGTGACTCGCACTTCAAAATAAAACACACACATAATATGCTTATATATAAGTTGCTTATATATATGTACAACTATATATATGTATATACCCGTTTACAGTATATAAGCTTGTGGCTTGGTCTCCACTGTTGTCGCACTGGAATGCTCCTAAATTTCACTTAAATCAGCAAATAGGTTCCTGCATCTGCAACTGCCAACAAATGCGCACATCTGCGCTGCTCCGTGCTTATGGAAACAAACAAACTACAAAATAATGCACACAGTCATAAAAAATGAATATAAAAAACGCTGCGCAAATTGTCGCCACTGAATTACGGCAGCCAGCAACAACAATAACAACAATAGCAGCAACAGCAGCGCAGACAAACAAACAAACAAACAAAAGAGCGAACCCCCAGACTTTTTGTTTTTGGGTCTCGAACCACTTGAAATCTTTGGAACACTGGAGCTGCGGGGCTGTGGGGCTTTGGGGAAAGCTTCTGCTGCAGCAGCATCCGAAATAAGCAAACAAATCGAATTAGACATACCCTTGGAGCAAGCCCGACAGCGAAATACCCTGTAGCCAGAAGCAAAACGGAGACGAGGAAGAGCTGCCTTGATGCTGGGAGAGAGGAATATTTTGAACTACTCTTAAGGCTTTGTGTCTCCAGATCTTATAGTCTCTGAGATCAGACATGTCTAAATCGAATATATATGCCTCATAAGATGGATAATGCTTCCTTCTTTCTGTTAAATATTTGTTTTTAAATATCTAAAAAAATACCATTGAGTTCTGTTTTAATTTTCTAAAAGGAGTTTCTTTCTAAATTAAATGTACAACTTAAGGAATAGGAGACGAAGAAGAGCTACCTTGAGGCTGGGAAAGGGGACTCTTAAGGGAAGTCTTAAGGCTTTTGTGTCTCCAGCTCTGAGATCTAGGTGTTCATGTCTAAATCGAATATATATGAGTCATAGGGTCGATAATGCCTCCTTCCTTCTGTTATATATTTTTTTTAAATATCTAAAAAAAATACCATTGAGTTCTGTTTTAATTTTCTAAAAGAAGTTTCTCCAGCTTGTATAGTCTCTGAGATCTAGGTGTTTAAGCAGACATGTCTAAATCGAATATATATGCCTCATAGGGTCGATAATGCTACCTTCTTCCTGACATATAATTTTTCTGAACAGAAAAAGCAGAAAACTTAAATAAAAGTAAGTACTATGGAGTTATATTTTAATTTTCTAAAACAAGTTTATTTTTAAACTAAATGTAGAATAGGTTTTTTGCTCACTAAGAAATAAAACCCAAGAATAAAGTAATCTCCCAATATAAACTGAAGAGATAATGAAAATAAACAATATCGCTTAGATAATATTAGATTATATACATTTCTATCGAAGCTAATCAATTCTTACGGCGATTCGTAGTATCTTATTTTATTATATATTATATTCTTTGAGATGAATATCTTATCACGTATAGTACTTATCATTCCAATAAGTAAAGCATTGCTTTCACTTTTAAGAGTTTGAAATTTAAAAAGGAACCTATTCTCTCCAAAGCAGTAATTTCGAAATAATCGATGGCAGAGTTCTATGAGGGTTATAGATTTAAGACACTACTTACTATCGAACGCGTCCGATTTCAGGTTTGAAATCTAAATGATTTTAATTTAAATCCAATATAACAGGCTAACAGTTCTTGATCTGGACAGCTTCTGGGTGGGTTGACAAAATTAAACTTGTAGATTTTTTCTCAGAATTTTGAAACGCTTGTGAAGATGAAATGGTTTATAGGGATACTCAGTATTTGAAGAAATCTTAAACACGCAGTTCAACATAAATTCTAGGAATCGAAGAAAATATAAAACTTAGTATTATCTAGCAGCAAATTGATTTCCAATTAAAAAATAAAACAACTGTTTATTTATTAGACAGTTTCGTTTTCATTGAAACGATTTATAGAGAAACTCAGTCTTTAAAGCTGAGAAACAGAAATTCGCAGTTCAAAAGTAAAAAAAAGAATTGTTAAATACATACTTAGTTTTCTTTGAAACGATTTATACAGATACTCAGTGTTTGAAGAAATCTTAAAGCTAATCATGCAGCTCAACAGAAATTCTAGGAATCAAAGAAAAGAGAACAACTCACGATTATCTAGAGTATATGAGTATTATCTAACGCAAATTTGTTTCAATAAAAAATTTAAAACAACTGTTTAATAACTATAATATTCTGTATAATGAAATGATGAAAAAGATACCCAGTCTTTGCAAAAATCCTAAGGCTGAACACAAAGTTGAACAGAAATTCCAGGAACCAGAATTTTCTAGAGTATATTAGTATTATCTATCGTTAAATTTATTTAAATTCAAAAGTAAAAAACAACTGTTAAACACATGTTTCGTTTTATTTTGATGTAGCGCAGCGATTGAGAGTGAGAGTTGAGGGGAGCCGGGGGAGTGGAGACTGAGGAGTGGGGAGTAATGGGAGCAGAGAGAGGGGGGAAGCGGAAATGAAACTGTCAGAATGCATCATATGCATAAAAGTTTCAATGCAATCTGGCGCCAACTGACAGCTCACTGGTTAAGGGGGGAGGGGTGGAGGCACGGTGGCTGCCATACGCATCACTGACTGCCAATATGTTTCGCTTCAAATGCATTCAAGTGGCCTAAATGGAAAATCTATGGCGCCCATTTAATTTCCTGCACACACACAGTGGGGGACACACAGCAAGCTGCTGGGTGGGGGATTGCCCCAATGCCCCAATACCTCAACATCGTGCCCCATTCGTGGCATGACAGCTGCCAATAGATACTTGCACCGATAGCGCAAAGAGCGAAACAATGTCGAGGACGCGCAGCGCCACGACGGAGAAGTAAAAAAATGTCCCAGTCGTGCTGCATGTAAGCATAAAAATTCAACTTGCAATCCCTTTTATCTCTGGCAGTGTCGCACTTCAGATGCCCTTCAAAAAAGCAGTCGACAAAAACTACAATATATTCCGAATGATAAACTACGGCTTGGGGTTAAAGGTTGAGGGTGAGAAAATATAAATTTGTTCTTTCATTTGAAGTCAGAAGAAAACTATACTTGGATTAAAAGTGAAGCGAGAGAAAGAATAAGAAAGAAATTCTATTAAGAAACCCCCTTAATAGTGACACAGTTAGAATAAGAAAGAAATTCTATTAAGAAACCCCCTTAATAGTGACACAGTTATAACAATTCCCTTACCAACTGCAAAAGTTGCGTAAGTTTTTAAATGTTTTAGACAAGTTCTTCAAACATCTTAACCATAGACTGTTCTAATTCCGATTCTGCTTCATTTGAGACAAGCACAAAAGC